AATGCCTCGAACCTGTCGATTTTTATGCCCCCTAAACCTTTAAATTTTATGTCCTCCTACAAACTGTAAATTTGTATGCTGTCCTCGAGATATGTATGCCCCCTTGAATCTGTAGATTTGTATCCCCGTCGTTTTTGTTTTGTTTTGTTTTGTTTTGTTTTGTGTGTAGCCTGTTGATGCGTTTACCCCCATTTACGTATGGGGTTTATGTCTCTCAGTTGATTTGATACGCAAAAGTATGCTCTACGTATGGACAATTTCTAAAACGAGGCAAGCTATTGACAAACAAGTTGATGACACAAGGATATCAACAATCTCAGTTGAAGTCATCATTTCGCAAGTTTTATGGTCGATACAATGACCTTGTCAGCATATACAACCTATCATTGAGTCAAATGCTGACTGACGTTTTTCATACTTATTGTTAGGCCATTATTTATACACTGAACTGTAGACGGATTTTTCCGTTTTTTGGGGTTTTTTTTGCGTTCATGACAAGGAGCACACGGCGGGTGTGACCGGTCGGCAGGGGATGCTCACTTCTCCATGGTACCTGATCCCACCTATAAATTTTTAGGTCCGTGTTTGCTCTTCTCCAAATTTGTATCGTTTCATTGGGCTTTCGAGATTGAATACTGTTCGTTATCTTCATATTTCATTACTTCCATAAGTACCTGTACATTTGTATGCCCCCTTCTACTGCTTGTAAATGTGTATGTCCTTGCATACCTGTACATGCCTTCTTTGCTTTATTGTGTACCTGTACATCTATATGCCCCCGCTGCTTTATTGCGTACCTGTACAATTGTATGCCATCTCTACTTTAGGTCAGTGTTACATACAACATTTATCACACAGCGACAAAGTTTACTGACCCCCGTATCCCAATACCCCCTCCGTTATCTCGTCAATAAATTGACCTGTTTGACATATATTTGATAAATTAATGTGTTATCTACGCAGTACTTTTATCTACCAGTAAAGCGCTGCATCTGTAATTAATGAAATTGATTTAAGGTATTTTGATTATTACTTTTTAAGGATAAAAAAGGACTTCTTTTTTTCTAATTTTGTAGAAACCCCTAGAAAAAGATAAAGCTTCATTCTGAAAGTCAGTATTAATAAAATAAGATTATACGTTTTATCTTTAATTTCAGGAAGAATTTAAAGCCTTTAATTTTCAATTCACCCCTAAAGGCCAAAGGGGGAGAGTTATGAATTCGAAATATATGAGAATGTTTTGGTTTTGCTAAGAAAGAATTGACACAGTAATTTATCAAGAAAATTTATATAAAATTGTTTGCTTCTATCTCATTAGCGGTTCCTACACCCCTTAGATTATTTGTATACAATGTATACCCATTTTTGAACTTGTTTGTTTATCATGTTTTAATTTTTGATTTTTTTAAATAGATTAGACAAGGCTATTAAAACTACTTTAAATCCTTGAACATTATGTCTTAATTTTTGTGTCAGAATTTCTCGATCGTGATAAATTTAGCGTTGTACCTGCTCGGTATACGTATCTGCGATGTGTGATAGTTACAGGATATGAATTTAAAACATCAGAAAGTGAGAAATCTGCGCGTATAATTGACACAATTCATCATTGTTCTGAACTGTAACATTATTATTTATTTTCACTGAAATAAAGTGACTATTATAAAACTAGAATATAAAGGTCCCTCTATATATAATGTCGGCCACATCCATTCTAATTAGCACGTATTAATCAATTTTTCTGCTTAAAATGCTGTTTTTATTGGCATTTCCATTAAAAGAAAAGGAACAAGAAGGAGAGCATAATCTTAAGACTAAACACAACCAGAATTGAAAGTACTCCCACCCACATTCCAACCACACACATATTTATCTTCAATCGCTTCCCTCAGTATTTGTCTAAGAAGCGCATTTGGTATATATACCAAATGCGCTTCTTAGACAAATACTGAGGGAAGCGATTGTATATATAAAGAGATAAATTTTTATCCTACGTCTTATTCTTAGAATTTACAGCATTTTCCCCCCAAATTTAATTGTATGTTCCAAGCAATCTGACAAAAATACTATGGTAAACTATAGTTTACTATGGTTTACTAATCTAACAAAAAATACTATGGTAAACTATAGTTAATTAACTATAGTCAATTCAAAAAAAAGTTTTGCTACAGTTAACCAAGTTAGTCAATCCAGATATCAAAGTTTTCACTACAATAAATCAAAGTATATATTTACTGTAGTCAATCAAAGTTCCATAATATTACATATAATAAATGTACTAAATCAAAGTGTGTATTTTAAATGATACTAAAATAGGCCATAGTTTACTATAGTGAGCTTTACAAGTTGAATAATATTTATTATAGTTTTCTATGGTTAACTCTATGGTAAATCATAAAGATTTAATGTGTACCTGAATTGGTATTTGTCAAAATAAATGAACAGATAAAAGTTTTTACCACAAATCAAACTTCCATTGTATTCACTTATAGATCTAATGTATTGAGACTGTATTGTCAAATATAGTTAACTCTGTTGGGAAATGGAACACCGTACTAAAACTCTACATGCTAGAAGTGAAAGTTATGAAGACGATCAAACAATTTTTTTTTCCCAGTTTGTCTATGTAGTCGAAAACTTAGGAACCTTTAAAAATATTCATGTCGTAGAGTTTATTTAGTAAAATTAATATAAAAATCTGTCAGAAAGAATATATATATATATATATATATATATATATATATATATATATATATATATATATATATATATATATATATATATATATATATATATATATATATATATATACATGTATGAATATGGTTTTTTCGCCGCATTAAATTAAAGTCCACCCTTCCTGTAATTCAAATGCTGGGTTGTTCAGCTAAATGGAAGATCAATGTGTCATAAACACACAATTATCTGTTTTCAGGCGATCGCTGTGAGTTCAATTGACTGTCACCTCCGGAAGATGGCAGATACAGTGTTTGTTGTGACGTCATAGAGAGTCAGTCTCACCAGATTCAGTGCCTGTATGTATATGTTGTCAGTCTGTGTAACAAGGACGTATATACTCACAGTCAGTGCATCATATACATGTATAGTACAGGGACGGATGGTGCTGATAAGTCACATTCTGTAGTTTATCAGTACACGTCGTACTCACAGGCACTGTCAGTGGTGATTTAGTACATAAACAGAGGTACTTTCTAGTACTAATCAGAATTTTTTAAAGAACAAAATATTTATCTAACTACAATATTCTCACAGCAAACACATTTGCAGGAAGTTCAGTTCCACTAAAATTAAAAATTAAAAAAATCAAAGAATTGTGGTCCCCCGCTTTCGGTGTCTTACTGGATGGGATGCCATTATTTATGGCATATTGTGTCAAACACGAACGCCCTATCATTTGTCATTTAAAAGTATTCACCAAAGTTAAAATTTAAAAAAAAAAAAAAAGGTCAAACATGAAGGTCAAGGTCTAAGGGTCAAATCATCGGAAACATCTTGTCATGGGTAATGCACATGTCAAATATGAAAGTCCTATCTCTTCTCAATCAAACATTATAAGGAAATATAAAATTATTGAAAAGTAGGTCAGACTTCAAGGTCACAGGATCAAAAATCATAGTATATTTAGAAAGTTATTGTCACAGGTAATATAGATGTATAATATGAAAGCCTTATCTTTTCTCTTTCAAAAGATATGACCAATTAAAAGTAATGTTTAATTTTTGACAAGTAGGTCAAACTTCAAGGTCACAGGGTCAAAATTATAGTACATTTGGAAAGGTCTTGTCAGAGGTAATATAGTTGTGTAATATGAAAGCCCTTTCTCTTCTCATTCAAAAGTTCATCGTCTCAAGCCACTGTCCAGAGTCCGCATGTAGCTCTCTCCAGAATGGGAGAGGATCGTACATTTTGGCCGTGGTTTGCGACGATGTCAAAAGTTATGACCAAGGTTAAAGTTTTTGTGACAGACGGACAGGCGAATTAGATTTAATGTCCTCTCGCTTTCGCGAAAGCGGGGAAAAATAAATAAATAAGAGTAATTTATGCTCGGCCTCCGATATGTAAACCACAAAATCTGTTGTAACATTTAGAGGATATATATATATATATATATATTCAATAAATATATCAAAGGCCGTCTATTATGGAAAAATCGTGTTGTAGTATGTGGAAATGATCAATTTTGCCTACTTTGGTGTACATGGTTAAGAAATGATTACTTTCAATACAAGTGAGATTTTGCAGCATATTACAGCAAGTGCATTGATACTAACTGAAAGAAACTGTTACGTTATTTGTTTTCACTTCCTATTCTTAGGAAAGGTAGATCATATTCAGTGCCGGATCCAGGATTCTTGAAAAGGGGGGCCCAACCGTTTGGGGATCGGGAAGGGTGGGTGTTGAAGCCCCCGAAAGCTCTCAGGTTTTGAGTCTTATAGAACAGTTTTTAGACTTATTTTAGATATACTTTATGTATAATTAATGCAATATACCACAACAAAAAAAAACAACGATGAATTAAATCTTATATGTATATTTTTGGTCACAAAATGGGGCAGGGGCTGCCCCCTCTAAATCCACCAGTGATATTATGTTCCAGCCCGGACGCCCCTCTAAATCCGCCAGTGAATCATTATCGTATGTGGTAAGTCGATCGAAGGTAGATAACTCTCATAAACTAAAACAAGGAAGTCGACATAAAAAGTATGGAGAAAAGTTAGGAAAAGTTAGGGGAATTATTGTTCTCTGTCTCAATAAAAATGTCATGATACATGCATCTTCAGAATCAAAATGAACAGAGAAAAATACCAGTAACACTTGTAAATCTTAAGTAACGCGATCTATAGAGCATTCGAGAATCAGCAAGAAGCTTAGGGTTACATTTATGTTTAGCACTACCCCCATGTTGAACAACTTTTTTAGCAGGACTAGTGTTCCGTAGATAAACTTGTAAGTGTCTACTTTCGGTTTGTTCGTTTCAGGAAAAGAAACGCAAAATGAGTGGAACGAAGGTAAAAATGTCTTTGTTTCTGCAATACCATCTGTGCTATATAATTATATACTTATAAATACTCGCAGGTGTGCATGTTACTGAGTACAAAAATACTGTGACGATGTATATTATTGTACACAGTCGGCAGTGATAGACAAGTCATTGATCTTTGCACTTAAAATAGAAATGTTTAAACGCAGTTTAAATTTTATATATTCTATTTCAAAGATCACCTTTTGTGATTATTTTCGGCATATTCGGAATATCAGAGTATACAAATTGTGTTATGCTTTGCTTAATTTAAGAACTTACTTCTTACTACAGATTATAACAAGTAAGTATTTAAAACGAAAGTGCTTTAACTTAATTAATTTCATTTCCAATATTGTATGAAGTTAGAGAAAGAGTAGTAAGAGACTTCATAATGATATAAAATTAAAGTCAATGACACTTTAGTTTTTAACTTATTCTTTTTACATGGCTGGCCTCGATTTAAATTAGGAGAATTAAAAGTCGCCCTATTTTATGAATAGACTTGTTTTTTGGTCGGCGGATCATTAAGAAGTGTTTTCATTAAATATCAACCAGACTGTACGGTTACAAGAAATATTTTCGTTAGGCTTCGAGTATCTTGTACTTTGACTTTGCTTCAATTAAATGCAATTAAAATTTATTTCCGTTCATCTTAAAATTATACATTTTATCTCACAAGTGCATGTTTGGCAAAACAAATAAAGATTACGTTCTGATTATATTTGTGTTCAATTAAAAGCACAGGCAGTAAGGAGTAAAGGACAAATAGGCTCTTTTTCCTCATTCTTTCTACGTTTTTGTCGCTGCAAGTCTCTGATTTCATTCCAAGTTTGGTTATAATTATTTTTTTAAATACTATTTTCGGTAGGAAGTTAGTTCAAAACCATGAGATGCCCATTAAATGAAAAATTTGCGTTTCATAAATGAGAAATTCAAGCCTTATTTTATACATGTACAAGAAATAGAGTAGAAAATTATCAATGCATGACTTCTTATATATCCTTCCTTTCAAAACACACTCACACATACTCATGAGAGAGAGAGAGAGAGAGAGAGAGAGAGGAGATGGAATGAATCTTTTGTCTATAATTGTATTGCTGTGTGATTGTATTTTCGTTTATAAGTATGTTTTTGTGCTTTGATGATATAAAATTGATATAGAATGAACTTTACAGGAAATCAAAAAGGAAGGCCGAGAGTGTCAAGTTTATGTCCTATTCATTGAGGTATTTCCGGGTTCTATTTATTTCTTAAAACATTAAATTTCATATACTTACATCAAATCCCTAAGCTATATCATGCACCATAATGGTCAAAGTAGTCTGAAACGTATTGTTAAGACGAATTTAGTTCACGTTGATTATCTCCAAAAATATTTTTTGTTAAAAAAATTTTTAATGGTGAGAATGACATTGAAAAGGTATGTACACATAGTGTCCAAGGAAAAATAATCTTAATATTGTTATTTATTATGGATATCCAATAAAATCAGATATGGCGTAATATTGATAAGAATTGCTAATGGATTACTTCTTAGGATCCTCATGCAAAACCCATAGCTGACTTACTGGCGAATTGTCGACGTTATAAAGAGGAACTTCGGTTGGACAAAGAGCTGGAAGAGGCCTCTCTTGAATATAAATTTCTTCTGAAGAAGGCAGGAAGGACCGGATCTCAAGTATTGTCTTATCTTACATTACTTGACGTGTTGTATGACACCCATATTATTACAATAAAACATGCTTATAACGAAGTGCCAGGGACAGACGATTTTGCTTCGTTATAAGCGTAATTCTTTATATTCGTTTATAGCTGCAGAACTGTAGCTTTCTGGTTGAGAAAATTCGGACAGACAAACCAGAGAGCTACAGACTCAAGCGTTGTAAAAACCTTCGATGTAAGGCGACGACTTTAGGTCGCTGGCTTCGGGTATTATTCCTTGTATTATATGCGTTCCCTCGCCAACGCACATGATAACAAGAAATAATACCCGAAGCGAGCGACCTAAAATCGTCGCTTTTTACAACGCTTGGATCCTTAACTCTCTGGTTTGTCTGTCCGAATTTTTTTCAACCAGAGAGCTACAGTTCTGCAGCTAATTCGTTAAGTATTCAATAATATTTTAAAGTCAAGAGGAATGAAAATCACTTCAATATAAGCATCTATTCATTACATGTATAAACGTGTTCGCCATGAGCCTGTTTTTCTGTACAGCACTAACCTAGCACCAAATGTATATTAATGTACACTCAGACAGGGTATTTATAGGAGACATAACAGTTTTACATGTTTAAACTAAACCAGACTCAGGGTTTGAAAGAAAGCATAGTAGGATTTTGAATTAAGGGGTAAGCATATTATAGACCTGCAGATCATAACTTGCAGAGAAGTTATCTCCAGTTTCATTCTTAAACTTATAAACTGTAGCTAGAATATTAAGAAATTGAGAGTTTACATTGTTGATAATAAAGTTTACCTTAGACACTGTACTTTGTAAACATTACATTGTATAAAATATCAGTTCAAAGCATTTTGATCCGATATCTGTACTAGTATTTTACACCAAAGTTCACTATTACATATTTCTTCGGGAAAAAAACGAATAAAAAACCAAATATCAACTTGGAACATGTTTTGACTATTATTTTTACACTAAATGGAAGTAGAAAATAGCTGTAGCAAATTGGTATTAATTCCATATGATCCTTTTTTCGTAAAATATTTTTTTTCTTTGGTAACATAAAAAAATAACATGCAATTATTCACATAATTTATTAATCATAACGCCATAGCTTATAGATAAGTACTTTGATCTTTTCCTACATACAGAAAACCACCCGTCCATACGAACTGAACCTTTTTAATGACGAAAGACGATGCCAGGCACCATCCCTGTTTGATGTAATAAGTAAAGTCTCCAAAAGATGTCAATATGCAAAGTGGGAAAAAGCCATGTCGGAATTTATTGGTTTGACACCCAAGCAGACGGAGCCAAAAAAGCAGGTACTCATTGAATATTTACATGGAAATCGTTCTCTCAGCATCACTTATAGATTTAATCATGTTACATGTACAAATGTTATTTTTGTTTCTTAAGAAAAACAACAGAGTGTCATGGTTTAGGAGTTATTAAAATAGAGGAGAACAATGAAATGATTGAAAGAATTAATGCCTCGACATAAACCGTATACAAACACTGTAGATACAATTTCTTACGAAATCATCGCTTAATATGATTGAAGAAAAGTAAATTTATCAGTAAACCAGACGTATGTCAAAAAATTTGTCGACTGTTATTCTCTGTTTTAACTTTATTCAGTGTTCTTTTATACTTTAGCTAGTGCAAAACACAGAGTTTGCTGAATTATGTAAATCTACAAATAATTACATCTACCTTTAGAATTGTGTATTGTTAAGAAATGTTTACTTGTTAGTAGGCAAGAGCAAAATAATTGTCTGTTTAGCACTCGGTACCAGGCGCGGATCCAGGAATTTTTTCCAGGGGGGTCCATTCCAGTCCAAAAAATCCAATCTAGAAAATTCTTAACAAAAAAAAAAAAGGGGGGGGGGGGGGTAGTCGTTACCTTCTAAAGCTTCAAACCTATGAATTTTCATACCAACTTTACACAGATCCGCGTTTTCGATGTTGGGGGTGGGGGGTGGGGGTGGTGTCCGCGTTTTCTACGGGGGGGGGGGGGGGGGGGTCCAAGGTAACTTTTAGTTGGTTTAGTATATTCATTTAATAAGTCTGCAAATTCCAGGGGGGAGGTCCGGACAAACAACCCCCCCGACCCCCTCTCTAGATCCGCGCAAGGGTATATACTACAGGTAAAGACATCAGATTCACAGTTAGAATCTCATGATAATAAAATGTCCATTTTCTAAACACAGTTCAGATGTTTTCTATTAAATTTTAATAATATATCCAAGCTACTGTTTTCTTGTCTGTGGGTAACTATTCTCCGAATTTTATTTTTTACAGGTTTTCACCGCCGATGTATATCAGGTTTTCGCCGAAGATGGAAAGGCAACAAAAGATGATGAGGAATCAGATAGAGGAAAACCCCCTAAATTTGATAAAGAAGAAAAAGGTGGCGAAAGAGAAGAAGATTCTGAGGATCGGGACGAGTTATCGGAGACTCTACCTCCCGAGATAAACCCAGACACCGAGGACCAATCACTGAAATCACAGGATTATCAGGTAAACAGAGAGACACAATTGGATATAGTGCATAAAATTAGAATTTTTTTTTCATGAAAATATGAAAGTAGAATAGTTTTGGCGTTTATACATTTGTGTTTTGTATTTGTATAAACTTGCCAATTACTGTTGAATCATCTGTGTTCGTGTGGGATTAATGTGTGTGGATTCCCCCCCCCCCCCTCCCCCCAAAAAAGAACTTACTGATTCGCGAAACTGTATTACAAAAAAGTGAAATTTTGTTTACCTGAATAAAAATGACTCCACAGTAAAGCTTTATTTGCAGAACTATTACAAAAAAGTGAAATTTTGGTTTACTTGAATATAAATGATTCCACAGTAAAGCTTTATTTGCAGAACTATTACAAAAAAGTGAAATTTTCGTTTACCTGAATAAAAATGATTCCACAGTAAAGCTTTATTTGCAGGAAGAGGACAAAGAAGAGGAGGTTTTTCATGATGCAATGGATGGAGAAACCAAGGACAGAGCTCAAGTTGTTAACGTTCTGTTTCTAGAGGTATTCATATTTCAGTGTTTATTTAATCAGCAAAAATGATATAAAAGCAATTCCCCTTATTCTATAATTGGGGCTGTTCAAGGGTCCCGTTCCCAGTTCAAAAAGGTACCTTTTTTCTCCATTGAATGTGTTAATTCTCCCAAAAATTAAAGGAAAAAATAGTTGGAAATATAATAACTAAACTTGTTATTCATATTCCTCTGTATTGCAAAACAAAAAAAATTACTTGATGATAAAGACCAGAAACCCAAGATATCATGATTTTAAATTAAAAAGGTTATTTTAAAATTTCCAAAACGATGCTATGTTCCCAATCTTTACAGCCTCGGCTCCATTCCAAAAAGAATGGTGTGAGAGTCCTGAACTTGGTGAATTAGCATTTGACCTAAACCAAGCTGACTTGAAATAAAATCAAATTTTTTTATGTATTAAACTTAAAGAACAGGATACTAAAAACAAGTATTTTACAAATCAAATTTACTAAGTGTGAATCTCACAAATGAAAATTATTGCATACTGTTCCACTTTAAAGTAAGGCTATGCATTTTGATTAAATATTTAGTTATAGTCTGTCCCACGACCGGAACGTCACTACTTTTTGCAAGATATCTCAAAATATATAAATACCTTGACTTTCAACCTAGGTTCGATCGGTAGATTGATTTTTTTCCAAACTTCCTGCATTTATACGAACCCTCGAGGTCAACCAGTGTATTGACACGGCGGCAAATTCAAAGTCTACGGGGATTTAACATTGTCAAAATGGCAGCCACTTCGGAAGGGAATCCATCATTATTCGTAATTTTCCGTACATTGCCGTCAGTGAGGTAATGACGTCACGCAAGTTCGGGAATGCTCTGTGCTTATCGACGTCCAAAAAGCTGTAAAGCCCGAAACTTGCCAAGTATATATTTAGGCCTATATATAGGAGAAATTACGTCTTCGGCAAAACTTTCATACCCAGGGCCAGACAGAAGGGATCAAAGATTTTTAAAAACAGCTAGCCTATACACTGCATAAAGAAAAGAGGTATGACTCAATTCATATATCCTAAGATTGTAATTATCATGTTAAAAACAATCGAGGCAACTGCAAATTTAGCTCAAGTGACATGACTGCTTTTATTGCCAAAACGTAGAGATCTAACTTCTTACAAGCGTAGTCATATTATTAAGATTATTAAAATTAATTGCTGCTTTACTTTACTCCTTAGCCTTCCACATAAATCAAACTCCCTATAGTTTGTTATAAACACAGTCAAAAGAGGCATCGTATCACTTCTATGTGAACAATTGATGTCCTTAACTGCACAGTATATCCTGTTTTTGTTAGACTTTCAACACTTTAAACACATAGATGTAAAATCCACAATCAATATTATATTTTGAATCTCGGTGCAAAACAACTATTGTTGTCTGCATCAAACTACGTCACCAATGGAATTTGACCTTGCCCTTCGAAAACTTCCTGTAATATCGGCATTAGGTAAATCCAGGCCCTTGGATATATTTTTAGTGTTTCCACAAATATAACAGAATGCAAAAAATTACTCAATCCTACACACAAAAACTACATAACACAAGTGTAAAAGATATACTACTTTTTTTATTTTAATTTTTACCTTTTCTTTTTTTATCATCTTATTTTTTTCTTTTGGTAGAAAGTTCAGTAGTTTTACACACACACACACACACACACACACACACACACACACACACAAGATTATACATGTATATATATTGACACTTTCTATATAAGTCAGAGCAAGCTGCTAGCTTGATTCTCATATAATAAAAAAAAAATATTTATTCAGAAAAACAATAGATAAAATTTTTGAAACAATTTTATTGCAGCCTGCAGGATCATGAAACAGACTTTGACTTAAGTCATATTTTCAATTGCCAATAAAATGTTTATCATTTATTGAGTTAATCTCTAATTTTGCAAATAACAACACTTTTGTAAAACAATATTGTAAAATAGTTTAATTTTGGCCTGCTTGACTTCTACAACATTTTAGTACAACATAAAGATTTTACTTAAGCTTAAGATGTTTCATGATCCCGGGGCCAGGATACCAAAATAGCTACCCGGTGAAGACACAGTATACTTTGAAAATGGTCATTTTTTACCTATAATTCAAGAAGTCTCTCAAGAAATGTAGGCAATTCTAGAAAAAATCACCTAAAATTTTAAAAACACTATATTGAATATAGACAAGCACAAACAAACAAGTACATAAAATAAATTCAGCCATAAGTAGCTGCAGATACATCCTAAGTAATTTTTGCTATATGGACTGTAGATACATGAGCAGTCTGGGCAGCTTAGTTGTTAGAATACCTCATTAGTATACAAGTATTTGTAATGCTGAGGTCCTGGGTTTGATTCCCAGTCAAGCAAAATGTTTTTCCTCATGTATTTGTAAATTTTCAAAGTATGTTTCTTCATTATTCCATTTCCTGGTACATATGGCTTCCTGATACACATTTTTTCTAAATTGCATAATACTATGGAATCATTTTAATTTGTGGAGGTCAGTGTTTGTGGGCAGGCATATAGTTTTGCTGTTTTGTGGACAGGACATAAATAAGGTTAACCAAAATACAATCAAAGGAATTAATGGATTGATTAAAATGTTAAAATAAGCATTTGTGGAAATATAAATCTATGGGTATAGCTGATCCATGTGATAAAATCCAAGAATGTTGGTCCCCCACAAACAATGATGATTCCACAGTAGATGTCAATCAGGTTTTGTAAGCTACCTGTCTGTAATGGGCAAAGTAATTAATCATACTCAGATAATTGTTTTCAAAATTTTATTACTGCTTGTTTAACAGCTACCGGTAGATATATGTTGTTTTAAAATTATCAAATAGAATTGCTTCAAACTTTAAACACATTTAGTGAGATTACAGGAAATATTGCAAATGATTAATGAATTGTCTTTCCTTTATTTAAAGATATCAGATCAAATTTAGAAGAATAAATGATTATGAAAATTGAGTGCCCAATGCTGCTGGTGTCCATGCTTTTGAAAAAAGAAGTCATGACTCAGAATCCATAGTGAGAAACAGATCATGAATGAAGATTGAGATGGTGTGTTTATGTTTCTCTCCACTAAAACTTCTGTGATAAATGGTTGGTGTCTGGCTCATCCAATGATCAACCCATTGGCAGACTACCAGGTAATCTTTCATTCAGCCAATACTTTGAGCCTGAAAAAAAGATGATGATGAAACACATTTTAATCCATCATAAAGATTCTGGTGCATGAAAATACTTTTTAAGTCTGTACAAAGTGAAATTTAAAGGAATAATGAAAATTCAAATGATTATACTTGAACTTGCATTACATGTTAACATGAATTGATACATATTAAAAATGCATGTATGTAGTCAATTTTCAATTTCAGGTTCCAACCTGAAGAACACATGGGAAGAGTAAAACCTTTTTCATTTATATAAATACTTACTAGCTATAGTCTAGAAGAATGTCCTGAAACCTGAATGTTTAGTCCACCATCAGATGAATTTCAATCGCATTATTTTGAAAAATTGAGTAGATAGTCTTCTACATGCATGCATGTCTTAAAGTCACACTGTCTGGTCATCATAACTTTGCACTCCAATTAATTATACATGTACCTTCAAAAATGTTATTTAGTAATTAATAAAGGCATCATCAAATATTTTTGCTTTGGTTATTATTACATTTCTTTGATCAATGACTTGTCTTTTAAATAGTTTGGACTGCAATAGGAAGATAAAACTAAAAAAAAAATGACACAGCTTAAAATGTTATATGTATCACGATATACAAAAATATGTAAGGTTTCTGTATCAGGATATATTACTTTTTTGTGCGTATTGTGTAAGTTACATAGTATTATGTTTCTTGAAATTATTTTTTTTTTTAATTTTGAACAAAGAAAAATGACTTGTAAATTTTATAGTTAAAATCTCTTGATTGAAAGAGAAAAATGAAAGCACTGAGTTTGCTGAGGGACAAAAAAAAAAAAATACACGAGAGATTAGAAAAAGATTGTTAAATGTGGACGTGAAGTGTGCTAAGCTTAAAAGTTTCATTCTGATTGTTCAGTATTTAAAAGACAGGATAATTTGAAGATATTAGACATTATAATAGTCTGACTGGTTTATTATGTATATCATTTTTGCTTTATAGCCATGATTTCTGATCTGCTACCCTCATCGTTAAATCAAGCTACATAGCTGAATCAAGAGAATGTGCCATACCTGTATACACGGGTATCTATTTCATCAAATTTGAAAATGTTCTGAATTTAGAAGTTAAAATTTTTGTTGAATAAAAAAATATTTACATAACTCTCTTTCATAGTAGGTTTCCCAGCAGAAAATATTTATTATGCCATGGATACAATTACCATATATTTTTTATTACAATAGTAAAACTATTCTTGCACATGGGTGTTAAAAGATCTCTATATGAATATTGTTGCACTAATTAAACTATTGCAATCAAAAAATTGCATATACCAGTGAATAGTTTTGAAAAAGAAATACTCAGATGAGACCCTACAGTGTACTAGGAAACAGATTTTTCAAATTAAGTCCACATTTGAGCAGTATGGGAACTTGGAGACAAAATGAAGCTGCTGCCTGAGAAACCCAACACAGCAATTTGGAACACTGAATGTGGTACATGGCATTAATTGGAAAATTGCCTCTGATGTCAATTTTTTGTTTGAAAAATGTCTGTATTCAGAATAAATGATTCAGTTTTATCTTAACGTTTATACTGATGAAATTATATAGACATGACTTGTTCTTTATTTTTTTCCCTTTTTCCTCTTTTGCTTCTGTTTTTATTTTAAACTGGAAAGTCAGGACATGATTGCTGAAACACTCTGTATCTACCAAGACAGTTGTCTATACAACAATACATGTACATAAATGACCCTTAGAACTCGGTCCTGTAAAACTGACAAAACTTTGGGCTAAAGGTATATTTTATATGTTAGAACTTGTAAAAAATACACATTTTTCAATAAAAATTCAAACAAAAAAAAATGCCAAAAATATGTGTTATATATACATGATATAGAAAACTCTATATTGATTCTCCAGGGTGTTGACACTACAAATAAATGTAAATAGAAAATGCATTTTACATCATGTAGATTGTGATTCACTGTCAAAAGCATGAAATGTTGAAAGAGAAAGTATAGACTTTCATATATTGAAAATAATGTTTTTACCAGCTGTTATTTTCTTTATGTAATCTTGGTGTTATTCTAATGCATTTTTCCTAATTGTTTAATCAGCTGATTGTGTCATATGTACCTTTTTACGTTTTTTTTTAAACACATACTTCTGTATATGGGGCACTGTAAAAATGCCAAATATACATATACCAGGCGTATTTGGCATATTCTTACAATTTGGAAACTCTTCTTTCTTGTGTGTACATTAGGTAGTAAAACAACAACAGCAAAAAAAAAAAAAATCAAATAAATCAACTTACGTTTTTAAAAACACATTCTTGCATCATCATGGCCATGTCACATCTGTATCCACAACTTGTACTGCATTATACACGTCCGCGGACTATTTTCTCGACGTTTTTGACAAAACTCGTTATACAGTGTTAAAATATATTGTAATTCAAATAAATACTCACATTATTAATAAAAACACTTTAAATAACGTCCTTTGATTTTCTCAGATTTTTCGAAATTTTACTTTGGAAAGAACGACTACTCCCTTCAAAAACTGGTTCCCCGCCCCGTAATCTAGACGCTAATGGACGAGTTTACCATGTTAAATCCCCGTAGACTTTGAATTTGCCGCCGTGTCAATACACTGGTTGACCTCGAGGGTTCGTATAAATGCAGGAAGTTTGGAAAAAAATCAATCTACCGATCGAACCTAGGTTGAAAGCCAAGGTATTTATATATTTTGAGATATCTTGCAAAAAGTAGTGACGTTCCGGTCGTGGGACAGACTATAAATGCTTTGTTTATAAATGTAATAAAGGTGTCGTTTTAGTACATAAAAGGAGTTTTAAGAGTCCTAACTTGTGGTGTAATTGTTTTTGTAACTATGCATTATAATTATTGTATTCTTTTACATAATGTGAAAGAATGCCTGTTTTTATGCATTTGGTACTTGATGAACTTAGTGTGTTTGTATGAAATGTGCTGGTGAAATCAACCAAAGGATCAAGTCAAACTAGTCTTCTAGAATAAGCATTCATGTTCAACTTAATACAATTATTCTGGTTTAATAAGTTATTTAGTTTACATAAAGTACTGATTACTCTTAGGCACCTGTTTCCACCAGGGTTGAAATTCCAGTGATGGGAATTACCAGTGGTAAATACCGCTATTTCCCGTCCCCGTAAATACTACGAATTTCCTTTACACTGGGAAATATTGGGAAATACAAAGTTTAAGTTTTTTATTTCTTAAAATCATTCAATCTCATTCAGACAACATTCAGAAAAAAAAAAATAAAAAAACAGAAGATGAATAATAAAATGGAACTCATAAATATACTTACCTTGTCATTGGTCATTTGCAAAACTATTTTGTTAAAAAGCATTCTGATTGTACACACACGTACTCTGAAGTTGATATTAAAAAGATGCTTGAGTTTCTGATTGACAATATCTATGTAGTTTTTGGAGATCAGATCTCCCAACAATCTGTTGGAATTCCCATGGGTACCAGTTGCGCCCCGTTATTAGCAGACCTATTTTTCTATTCATATGAACCAGAATCTTTTCAAAAACTTCTACATGAGAAGATCAAAACACTTGCAGTGGCCTTCAACTCGACATTTCGATACATCGACGACGTATTGTCAATTAATAGTTTCTTCCTTTCCTATTTCGACTCTATATATTCCAGTGAGCTTGAAAAAAGATTCCACAGAGTCTGTTACATCTGTTTCATATTTAGATATTTTACTAGAAAAAGACATTAATGGTAACCTAACAACAAAGCTTTATGATAAACGTGATGACTTCAATTTTTCAATTGTCAACTTCCCTTACTTATGTAGCAATATGCCCTTATCTACTGCATATGGGGTTAATGTCTCTCAGTTGATTCGGTACGCAAGAGCATGCTCTATGTATGAACAATTTTTAAAACGAGGCAAGCTATTGACAAACAGGTTGATGAGACAAGGATATCGATAGATTCGTTTGAAGTCATCATTTCGCAAGCTTTACGGTTGAAACAATGACCTTGTCAGCACATACAACCTATCAATGAGTCAAATGCTGACTGACGTTTTTCATGCTGATTAGTAGGCCATTATTTATACACTGAACTGTCTACGAATTTTTCCGGGTTTTTTTTTTATCATGACAAAGAGCACACGGCGGTTGTGAACGGTCGGCAGGGGATGCTCACTTTTTCCAAAATTGTCTAGTTTCATTGGACTTTCGAGATTGAGTACTGATGGTTATCTTCATATTTTAGTGAATGTCTCAAACTCCAGTTTAACATATTCAGAGTGTAACACTACTCCAGGTCCCCTATCCATAAAATTTTATAACAGAACATGTTTCCCTGTCTGTATTTTAAGAACAAAACTGGTTTTCTAATTCGCTCCTTATAAAGTTTATAACTATAAATCCATAAACACTGTAGTAGTGTAGTTATTACAATCAATCATATTGTTTTAACAATTGCTTTGGACTGTTTTGTGCTCCTGTTTTAGAGATAATTCCTTGACTTTTTCTGAAAGGCCTCTTTTTAGGATTGATTGGTTTGTTTGTTTTTTGTTTAACGTCCCTTTCAAGAATTTTACAATCATATTGAGACGCCACCGGTCGGCACTTAGGGCCATTGAGCAGTGAGGGATCCATTTTGTGCCAGCACCCACTGTGGCACGGGACCTCGGTTTATATGTTCTCATCTGAAGGACCGGTCTCCACGTCCCGCACTGGGATTCGAACCCGCGACATAAGGATCAACTCCTTACTCCGCGGGTCTAGAGCAATAGCTCTAACCAATGCCCCACGCCACGCGGGCGACTCTTAGGATTGATATTTACACCATATTCTAAACAATTTTCTTAGATCCTTCTTTAGTTACATTTAAAAAACCCAAATGGGATCTTTGGGTTCATTTCATTAACCTTTATAGACTACATCTGACTCGAGCATGAAACAGATGACACCCATGACTGGTATATGAGTATACTGTGTTGTGATTATTTAGAATGAGATGATAGGAAACCAGAATTTTTTAAATCAAGAACATGATAAAAATTATGTAATATGTAGCTACTTCTTATTTCCCAGTATTTCCCGGGAAATACCAGTAATTCCTGGGAATTACCAGTATTTCCCACTGTCCTGCGAAATATGAGTATTTCCAGCTTTTTTTGCCAACCCTGAATCCCACCACTGGAAACAGGAGTCTGTGTTCGTGCCCTGTTCAGATTTTATTGTTTATAGATTTTTTTTAGATAGTTCACCGTTCGTTACCTTCACCTTTTGCATTTCCTTTTCAGAATCAAGATAAGCAACCGATAGAAAATTTTCTGGAGAATTGTCAACGTTATAAAGAGGAACTTCAGTTAGGCGAAGAGCTTACAGGGGCTAGGAATGAATACAAATGCCTCCTTAAGAAGGCAAAAGAGACAGGATGTCCGGTATTATCTACTATTAAATTTTGTACATGTACATAGTATTTGAAAGAACTCTGAGCTAGAAATGATATAGAAATTCAATCATTTTCATGCGGAAAAAGAATTATACACATGTACATCCTATATATTCATTTTTTTATTAGTAACTTAATATTATTAGATTGCTTTTAAATAATAAAGTACAAGTTGTACTTCATATAAGTGTTCTGTTACATTAGAATGACTTACCTACCTAGTGACCTTCATAACTTGATTTTTAAGGTACAGAAGAATGCCCCACCAAGCCAGCTGAATGCTGTAACTCCAAATGAGAAATGTCAGGCACCTTCTTTATATGAGGTTATTAGTGATGTATCAAAAAGATGGCCGAAAGCAAAATGGATGGACGCTGTAACAGAGTTCATTACGTTAACAACATACTCACAATCAGAACCCAGACATGCTAAACACCAGGTGATAAACTGATTAATGAATGTTTAAGCTTAGAAAAATATAATTTTTATGATTTTTTTCCACAACAGATTTTGTTTATAATTTTGTTATGAATGACCTTTAATGAATGCTACATCAAACTTTGACATTAAAATGCCCATATTGTATACCAAAGAGACCACGTTCTGCCTCTGGATATCAGAAGAAAAAAGAGAAAGAGTATAGAAATACAATAGAGAAATTGTTGGACCAGGAATGGGACTATGAAGTTATTCCTAGGACTGCTGTGGAGTATGATTACAGACACTTTTACACCTCAGAGAGTGTCCTTAAGTCTAGTTTTCCTGATGCTGTAAGGGCAATTTTCAAGCACAAAGTTATTGCAAAAACATTGTATGCTCTTTTCCATGCTGTTCTAAGATGTTATCCCTGAGTAGCAACTAAATGACTGCAAAATTCTTTCAAATATGAAAAACTCAAACAGTAGGAATGCTACCTTTAAAGATCCAGATCATAACAGAGAGAACATCCGCGAGATAAATTTGTTGAAACTAAATTTGACTATATTCTACATAATGTTTTTTCTTGCCAATTTTCATCTCAGTATCAGGAAGATTAAGAGCAAATTTCAAAAATTTGCTACACAGTAATGTTCATAGAAGACTCTGCTTCTATTAGTGGAAATGTGAATACTTATTGTTGACACTTCCTTTTGCAGTACATTTTTAATATGGCCAATTCTACACTAAGTAAACCTGAGGACGTTCCATCAGAATTCAAAGAAAGAACTCTTTTTACTTTTCTGCTGTCCATTGATATGAAAAAATATGGAGTAAAACCTGCTGATGCCTGGAGAGACTTTGGTCGCTGTATTTTGGCGGAGAAACAGTTAGACCTAGCACGTCGAGCAGTGGTAAGATAATATAATATAAAATCATATATTATGAAAAAACTACCATGACCTTTTCTAAAATTTTATACCGGTGGGGTTTCGTTTGCTAATTTTTGTGATGAACTGATATTATTTTTTATCTAAGGGCCCAGATCTTGACAAAAACGTTATTGTCAGCAAACACAACTTCTACAAGCTTCAAAATGAGTTAAAGGAAAAGACGGAGGAAATTGAGGAACTTTCTACGAGGTTTAAATGAATTCAATAGTTAAAGCAATAAAATTAATTCAATTACACTAAAAAGTAATATTTTGAAGGGGTCTTTTTCACATGTATACACTATGAAATAAAAATTGTCATAAATTTAAAGCTTTTAAGAATGTTTTTGTAGACTGAGTAAGTTTGCCAGTCAACAGCTGACTGAGGGTAACCCGAACATCGCGGACCTGAGTGACACACACCGTCCCACCAGACTGGGAGAGATGTACAGTCAGCTGTTTGATGATGAGTGGTCGGAGGCGTTTGAAGCCTTAAAGCCTAAAAAGGATGAAGATGATGAAGAAGAAGATGATGACATCTTTCCTGATACACTCTTTATCTTACAGAATATGCTTAAAGTAATGATCATACTGTCCTACATAAACCAATCAAACAAAAAAACCCATATATTTTATTTTAGCGTACGTCATGATAACCTTACCATGTAAGAGGTAATGAAAATAACGAATGTTGACAAAATATTCTTAAAGTAATGATCATTTTCTCTTGCATAAACCAAGGAAACAAAAAAAAATCATTTAAGCATACATCTTGATACTTATGATGTAAGAAATAATGAATATAATGTTGACTGCCATGGAGTAATAATTCGACATTTTCTATGACAGGAAATATTCGAATTTTGTAAAACTCAATCACAGAAACAACTAGTCGAATTAGAGGACAGTTTTGCTACCGTAATAGGGTTGAAGGAATCAAAGGTATAATTAATATTTAGTAGCCATTCATTTGCTTTTCTGCTTTACATTAATATTTATATGTGAAGGAGGAGTTTGACGTTGATGCTATAATTTGTAGGTAAGAAAACAAAAGAATGAGGAAAGAGCAGAGGAGAACCATACTGATGGTGGAGGTGACTCTAGTGAAAAACCGAAGGTGTCAGATGAGAGTGTGCAAGAGAAAGAAAGCAAAGAAACAGACGATACCAGTGATAACAAGCAATTCGAAGACATCAAAACTCCTTCTGAAGATATAAAAGGAGGGGATGAATTATTCCAACAACCAAAGTTGTCAACTGAAAGTACAGAAATGGAAAAGGATGCAGGGGAGTTAAATGATAACCAAACTGAAAAAGATAAACCAGGAAACTCTGGTACTGATACAAAAGACTCAAGTAAAGAGGGAGCAGTTGAACAACCAAAACCCAATAAACAAGATACTAGTGTAACTGACCCTGAAAAGGAGCCAGAAAAGGACACTAGTAACAATATTAATAATGACACTGAGTTAAATAATAGTATGAACGTAGAGGATAAACCTATGGAAACTTCTGATAAAAAGCTGAAGGGGGAACAAACTTCTGACGACAAGATGGCCGATCCTAGTGAACCTAATTTGGATAGGAATGAAGTACCGAATGAAGAAGTGAACAGTGAAGGTCAAACCAGTGAGAAGACCGATGATAATGCTAGCTCTAAAGGTCAAGACAAGGAACTACTGGAGGTCAGAAATACAACTGTCGATGTTATCATCTTTCGTATTAAAATGATCTATTATTTACTTACAGTGTGCTGAAAAAGATTCTTGTTTTTCAATTATGTAGGTCAATACTTTGATAGGGGAAAATTATTAATGTATGCTACAACACTAAGAAGCCTTCAATTAAAATATTTAAAAAACCTTTTTTTCTGTTTTGACAGTCTTCGGAACAATCAAACATAAAGCAATCCTCTGGTGAAGAAACATCAAAGGATGGGGAAAAGGAGGATAAACAAGATCCATCTGAAAGAGAGGAGGCTCAGAATAAAGCACCTGAAGAGAAGGATGGAGGGAATGAACCTGATGGGGAGGAAGAGAAAGGACCAGAAGAGGAAGAGGATAGGAAATACAGGACCGACCAAGCCTTCCCAATGATCGAGCGTCACGCCCGAGAGTTCCGAAAGGCTGCAGCAGCAACTTCAGCCAAGACTAAGTCCACAGTAATTTTCATTCAATTGAATACTACAATGCACTTGTCCAAATTTATGATTAAATTTAAAATTGAAAGTAAATAAAATAATTCTCTAAAATATTCACTTCATTAATAATAAAGTTTGCGTTGAATTGAAATAACTGATTTTACGTTGTAGCTTTTCATCAATGTCGAACTTCCAAATCTTGTCACGGATAAAGGTATTAGAGAAGACCTACGCACCCTGACCTACGTAAGAAAATGTGTAGAGTTGTGTTGGTACATGTGTATGCAGGATCCTCCTATGGTTATTATAAGTCCTGAGAGAGGACAAGAAATCGACAAAGGTTTGTTTTCCCTCCATGGTCGCCGCGGGAAAACGGTAGAAGTCTGTGTGTGGCCTGCTCTTCTGCTTCATGACAGCGGGCCGCTTGTGTGTAAGGGATACGTCCTACCAGAGGAGAGGAAACGCAAGAAGTAAAAAAAGAATTCATATTTCATGAGTGTTTTTTTCATAACTTTATGGAGTTCAATTATTAATTATGACTGTTTAAGTAGCATTTGATGGTCATTTGTTTTATGTATGACCACAATAAACATATCGCTTTGAGAGTGAATACATATGTAGGTATTGGATGATATAATTTTGCATTGAAGTTCAAAGCTGATAGTTTGTACACAAGTGATTGCAAAAAAGGTGTAGATATAAAACCTTAGCATATTTAAATGAAAATTGAATATTTATTATAGATATATTGTTAACTTCTCAGAAAGTTACGAATATGCTTTTGAGTAATGTTTCCTCTCATTGCATCACCATTTTTTCCTCTCGAATGATTTAATTATAAGTATTGATAAACATAACTAATTTACATTTGTAATTTGTGTATTAAAGATCTAGAGCTTTATAAAAGCTTTTTATGAATCTTACTTTTTTTCACAAAGTGCCATATATTAAAAACAAAAGACGGCTTATGTTTTCCTGGCAAATAAATTTCATTTTTGAAAGACTGTGTTTACTTAAATCATTTTGTGTAACAAAAGACATCAATGACACATGCAGCCAGTGAATGAAATGAGTTATAAACCTTTGTAAATATTAATAGAAATTTGATCCAAATGAGCATATGTTTTAACCAATCCGAGAAAAATAGAGCAAGGATGAACAAATTGATTACTTGATTAATTTTCTTTGATCATTTTGCCAACAAGTACTTGGGAATTATTCTGTTTGTATTAAACGAAATATATTCCCCTTTAAAGCAAAGGGGGCTTATCTTGCATATGTTGGCCGTTTCACTTTGTAAAACAGTTTTTGAATTTTTTTTCTCGATACAAGATGTGTTTTCCTGAATATCGGTTATTTATGTTTCTAAAAATAAAAATAACAGTGTGTAAACCATTTTTGTTTGCATATATCGTACTTGCCCGGAAGATAAATAGCTTCCAAAATGTGGCATGATCCTAAACAAATAGTTTATTAGGACTACAAGCATTTAAAGTAAAATTCTGAAAGAAACATTAGGAAGTGTTCATAATTGTAAGCCACATTGACTTTGGCAAGGTGATGTATTTCAAAAGTTGATTGGAACATGCATTTGACTTTAAGAAATATTGAAGTTTATACGTTAAGATGATATGAAACGTTTACATTTCATAAAAGTTGTAGCCACATAAATTTGTGTGTGAACCATATACCTTCTTAATAGGTGCATTTGTACCCGTTTCTATTTTGTGCCTGACTTTAGCTGTTCGTCCAACGTCTTCATCAGTCTTGGAAAACAGTGATGCATACTTCAGTAAAAATTGTTTGGCTCTTTGCCTGTCTTCCTCATCTAAATGACCAACAGTGTTTTTATACAACGCTTGCAAATGGAATGTATTACTGTTCTCATCTAGAGGTATCAAAGACACAATCTCATCCACTGAGGTTAATTTCCCTACAACAATTCCTGGGTACATGCTTCTACTATCATCCGAAATATTCACGATACGGATGGGCACCATGTCCTGTCTCCGGACAAGTGCTTTAGCCAGCAAGCAAGAATATGACTTGAGAAGTTTCTCAGCTGGCTCTATCAAACCAACTTTAGTCGGAAATATTCCATACGTACTAGCACATATCTGTTCCTCTACCATCACTTGGCTACCTTATATAAACTCGCCGACCCTTCCAGCTGAATAGGGTGTTCTATCCCTGAGATTGATATTTGATGTCTATGCATGTTTATAATTGCCTCATGCTTTACCAGGAAATCAAGACCTAGTATCCTATCTACAGTTATGTCAGCTATAATCATCTCATGTTGCAGCTCAATGTCACCCAGCTTAGAATCTACTGTAACTTTCCCCAACACCTTTAGTAATACGTCTTTCTTGACTTCAGTCAATGCATAATTTCCTGTCCTTGCAATATTCAAAGAGCATATTGTAGACAGTTGTAGATACTGTAGCACCTGTATCAATCAACAAGTATACATCTTCTCCATGGGTACGGGCAGTAACATAAACCCCTCTCTCGTTTATAGAGTTTACAGCTCCAGAGTACTCATCATTACAAGTTTTGTAACGTGTTCTGGGTCCGATGATTTGATCGTATGATCTTTCTTCAAACATGCTTCAGGCTTATTGTGCTCAGCCCTCTTGGAATTAGTGTTATTCCTATACTTTTGTTCAGGCTCTTTCCTCAGCTGTGGGCAAACTCTTCTCAGTTACTTTTGAGATCCACACTTGTAGCATTTCCTAGTTGGAATTTTATCATCTGTATGCGTCTTTGGACGAGGCATACGTTTCTGACTTTGTGACTGAAACTTCCACTGTTTCAGTTCTCTCATATCACGCTGTAATGAGCGCATGTTCTTTTCAACTGTTTCTATGAAATGATCGAGTTTCGAGGTCTTAGACGAGTTCTCGGTATTCTCACTCATCACCCTGACTGTATCTATTCGACGGCTCTCTGTTGTATTGTAACACAATGAGCGTTCAAATTATAATTTTAATTGATATATTAATTTTGTACATTGAGTTTATTAATATTTAAAATATTGTGTTTTGAATTATAATTGATACTATCAGTGTGTAGAGCGACGGACAATAACTTCTTAATTATGATCTTGTTTACAAACTCTGGGAGATTGGATACAATAAGTGAGCGTCTTCATTTGACGTACAATTAGTTTTTAAGATGTGTTGTTATCTAACATTGACACTTCCAATCAGACTTTGTGCAAAGCTGCAATCATCTAATTAACTGAAGAATGTGCAAGATACACAATGTTGATGTAAACAGAGGACATTGCCGTATCCTATAAGGAGATGAGAGACAGAGCTTCAGTGAGGGGCGGACTATATTAATTTAGTGACAATGTATCTTACTGATTTTTATTACCAAATACGTGATCCCTATGATGCAGCTTCTTGTACAAAAGATGTGCGCACTGAGTATCAATAGCTTTTAACATCTTAGCTCTAACACTGACTACGAGAGCTTTTTACCATCTTAGCTCCTAGACTGAATATGTGAGCTTTCGCCACCTTAGCTCCGAGACCGACAGCCATTGAACTTTTCTTATGTACCATTGTTTTTGCCTTTGCTGTGATTTTATAATAAAACTATAAACTTACAAGTCTTTTTAATCCGAACACATTGAGTAATTGTGTTATAGTATGCTTCTAGTTCAACAGCTTTCTGTATCATGCATAGGTCTCGCCTGTTTAATCTCGGAATTGTACAACCCATCTAAGAATTGTTTTGTGGCTAGTATCTCTCGAACGTCATCAGGAGCAGTTGGGTAGACTAACTTCTTACATATATGTCTTGACCTATCTCTGACAAACTCTCAGATGCCTTCTTTCTTCTTTCTCTGAGCTGTGCTCTGTATAGCTAAGTTTGATTCAAAGGAGCAAACCTCTCTTGTAGGGCTTTAACAAGTTTACGATAGTTCTGTCTTCCCTCTCTATGCTGGTTTACTAATACACCTTGTTCTTGGCCTCAGAGGGATGCAACCAAGTAAAATCCCTTCTCAGTCTCTGTCCACTCATTCAAAAGACATACCGATTCGAAATGAGTCAGATAATCGATCCACAAACCTGACCCATCATATGTAGCTGGCTTTATAAAATTTCTGGATCTGGCTTGTCCAGGGTTTGTATCCGTCTTTTGCGTCCTTGTCTTGGGAGCACGCATGGGAGGTCGAACATTAGGTACAGAACCCTCATCATCATCCGTACATGTACAAACATCATCACTGACATATCCACTCACACTGTCTCTCCGCCACTCATACGGGGTACTGGTACTCATGATGGTCTGTGTCTCGGGGTGCCAGAAGTACGTGTAAAAGAATTCCTACCCATTACAGAGTCATGTATCTTTCTATTTAACCGAATTATTTCTTTCTAAAAAATTAACATTGGCTTGTAAACCTGTCATTCTTATACATGTAATGAAATGATATCAATGAAATAAAATGACTGCCGCCAATTTTTGTAACGTGTTCTGGGTCCAATGATTTGGGCCGGTCTGGGGGATGTATAAAAATGATCAGATTTATAATTAAATACAAAGGCTAATTTAAACAAAAAAAACGAGTCATTATTTACATATATGTCTAGGGTTATCTATCCCTTTATTATAAAAAAAAAACAAATCAAAAGTTATCTCTTTAGGACAGGGCTTTGTCCTGGATATCTGTCCGGGGTTTGTGTCTCAGGGACCTGTCCTGTATGCTGTGTCTGTAGGCGGCTGTGTCCCTTTGATCTGACACTGGCTGCTGACAGGTACTAAAAAACACCGCTTGTATATATATATATATATATATATATATATATATATATATATATATATATATATATATATACAGTAAAACGCCACTGTATAGCAAGCTAGAAAACAAACACAATACAACACTGGGCAGTTGTATTTAACACTATAACTCTTTTTACACCACCTTACCTGCTCTAACGACAGCCAAACACAGAATGACAATTTTACCGCGGATGCACTCTTATATACGCTAGCGACACCCGGACTAACCTTGGCTTCCATCATACCTCTAATACTAAATCCCATTAATAATTGAGCCCCGAGCCCGATCGTCACAGAAATTTGTCTGGAGTTTCTCGACCACGGGTGGACATAGCAGACCTAAGTGACACACACCGTTCCACAAGACTGGAGATGTACAGCCAGCTGTTTGAAGATGAGTGGCCTAAGGCCTTTGAGGCTTTTAAACCTAAAAAAGATGATAAAGAAAAAGAGGACGATGATATCTTTCCGGAAACACTCTTCATCTCGCAGAAAATGTTAGAAGTAATGATTGCACTACCTTACATGGACTATGCATACAAAACACTAAAATCTCTTTTTGAAATAAATTCTGATGCATAAAAGAGTGTAAGTTAATATGAAAATAAGTTTACATTGAATGAGCGTTTTTGTTTTGTTTTGTTTTTTGGGTTTGGGGGGGGGGGGGTTGCTTTTGTTTTTTGTTTTTTGTGATTGATTAAAATTAGTATTGGCAAAACTGAATGAAAATTGAATACTAATTAGTTGTTTTATTACCTCTAGGAAATTGCGCATACACTTTTGAGTTATTTTGCAAAATATTTCCGTACAGTTTATGTCTCTCTAATATTTTAATTAGTTGAAGAATTCACTGACAAAAATGTATATTAAAGATACAGAATTGTTCAAAGTTTTTTTTTTAAAATTTGAAGAAATACATTTTTTCATCAAGTGCCCCAAAAATCATCAAAATTAAAAAAGACTACTTCGTTATTTTGACCAATAAACTTAGTCTTTTCTTCAAAGACAGTGATAATTAAATGATTTCATGTACAAGA